TGGAATAATGCTGTAAAAGAAGTCAGGAGGAAGGACTTGTCCTACCATATATTAAGGTATAGTATAAAGCTGTAATAAACAGAGTATGGCATTGGCATAAGAATGGAAAGAATTATAGAACATAATAGAAAGTTTCTAGCCTGGGCAACATAGTGAGACCACATCTCTACAAAAAATTTAAAAATTAGCTGGGTGCAGTGGCACACACCTGTGGTCCCAGCTACTCAGGAGGCTGAGGTGGGAGGATCATTTGAGCCCAGGAGGTTGAGGCCACAGTGAGCTGTGTTCACACCATCACACTCCAGCCTGGGTGACAGAGCAAGATCCTGTCTCAAAAAACAAAAAATCCCGAATAGTCCAAAAAACATACCAAAGCATAAAGTTTGGGAATTAAGAATGTAAAACTTCTTTACTGCAAACAATGCCTGAACAAGGATAAAGTCAACAAACCAGGTGGAAATAATTGCAATATATTGTATAAACAGTTTATATACCTAATATACAGAGAGTTCTAATAACCTGTAAGAAAAAGACAAACACCTTAATAGAAAAATAGACAAAGAACAATTCACAAAAGAAGCTGTACAGATGGCCAATTAGCATATTAAAAGATGTTCAGTTTAACTTGTAATCAAAGAAATGCAAATTAAAACACGGTTGTTTTTCACCTCACTGCGGAGGACAAGTATTGATAATATCTAAGGTTGCTGAGAGTATGGAGAAACAGACATCTTCATTCTCTATGTTGGGTATAAATTGGTACTACCTCTCTGGAGGATATTTGTCAGTATGTATTTTAAATGTGATTATTTTTTGACCCAGAAACTCCATTTAGACCAGTATGACATAGATTTTATTGTACATATGAATCACCTGAGGGTCTTGTTAAACTACTGATTCTGACTAAGTAGGTCCAAGGTGGGGCCCAAGCTCCTGCAGGTCTAACAAAGCTCCCAGGTGGTTCTGATGACGCTGGTCCATGGACCACACTTTGAGTAGAGAGGATTTAGAGAACTTTATACCCTGGTTGCACATTAGAACCATCTGAGGCATTTTAAAAAAATACCGATGCTCAAGCCTTACCCCCAAATTATTTGATTCATTTTGTCTGAGGTGGAGGCATGGGCTTTGAAAGATCTCCAGGTGATTCTAATGTGCAGCCAGGATTTAGAGCTATTATCCTGAGGAGAAAATTGAACTATACACAAATATATATTTATAGAAATGTATGTTTATTGCAACGTTGTTTATAATATTGAAAAATTAGAAACAACCCAAATGAGGTGGGCTACTCAGTAGGCTGAGGCAGGAGAATCACTTGAGCTCAGAAGCTTTGAGGCTTTAGTGTGCTGTGCTCAGGCCTTTGAGTAGACACTGCACTCCAGCCTGGGCACCATAGCAAGAAAAAAAAGAAACAACCTAACATCCAGCAGTAAAGGACTCATTTAAAACATTCTGGAACAACCGTAAGTAGGTTAATTAGAAATTACATCATAGATATAGACTTATTGACAGAAAGGTATTCATAACATGTTATGGAATAATGCTAGTACTAGGATGCTAGGAAGTTTATAATAGGACTATGTAAATTTATAAATAAATGTCTATGTACTGTAAATGCATAGAAAGATATGTGGAAAGATGCTTATTAAAATAGTAAAGGGGTCCTCTTAGGTGATTTCAACTTTTTATAATTATTTATAAAGCTGTCTAATTTTTAAAACTATTTATTTATTTATTCGATAGAGATGGGGGCTCACCATGTTGCCCAGGCTGGTCTCGAACTCTTGAGCTAAAGTGATCCGCCCACCTCAGCCTCCCAAAGTGTTGGGGTTACAGGCTGGGCCACCGCACCTAGCCAAAGCTGTTTTCATTTTGGGGAATAGAAAGGGTTTAGAAATACTTAAAACTGGCTGGGCACTGTGGCTCACACCTGTAATCCCAGCACTTTAGGAGGCCAAGGTGGGTGGATTATCTGAGGTCACGAGTTTGACACGAGCCTGACTAACATGGTGAAACTCCATCTCTACTAAAATACAAGAAAATTAGCTAGGCGTGGTGGTACGCACCTGTAATCCCAGCTACTTGGGAGGCTGAGACAGGAGAATCGCTTGAACCCAGGAGGCAGAGGTTGCAGTGAGCTGAATCGTGCAACTGCACTCCAGCCTGGGCGACAGAGTGAGACTCTATCTCA